TTATAAACACTCAATGATTAGCAATTGTGCAAGAAGATGATTACATGTATGTAATAAAATGAAAAATAATGAGTGTCCAAAAGTGTCCAAAATGTTTTATTTTTTTTTGGCAATAGCAAGAACTGCTGAGTATCTTTTATATGGGAAACAATGGAGTGAATTCTTGGCTGACTTTAGCTGTAGTTTGTACTGTAGCACTCCAGCTGCACTGCAATCTTTACTCAAAAATAGCTAGCAGAGCCAGACAGTTTTCTGTCAGAATAGCACTGAAGATGAAATCAATATTTCATTCTGGACCAGCTCTTGTGTGCTTATAAATTAGTTGTTGTCTTTTCTTTTCTTTTTTCTTTTTTTTTTTTTTTGCAGATAACATATTTAGCTACTGTATATTATAGTACCCCGAAGTACACACCTTTCAGAAAGCTCAGTTTTTTCAGAGTGGCATAGTAAACAAGGCTTTAGTTTGACTTGCAAAAATCACAATAGTGTATTTCAATGTGTAAACTCAAATTGAGGCTTAGAATTCACTCTCTGTGTGCTCTGCAGATTTAGTTCAATATCTACTTATGAGACGAGCATATGAATTGACTTTTGGTCCCCTGACATCCTCGCCTCTGCTTCAGCTTTTGCAGCTAATACAGTGAATATTAATTTCTTTCTGCCTGAGGGTTTTTGCCTCAACATTGCTGGGGAAAATCCCAACTTCCTGCATTTATGTGACAGGGGGTTTCTCTCGTTTGTTACAGCTACCACAACAGCGCTCCTAATTGTACTGTAATATTGATTTGACACGGTCACAACCCACTCACTCTATATTTTGCAGTGCACAGAGTATAGTCCAAATAAGCTGACCTTCACTGAAACTGTTCTGGCTGCAGTTCAGCTTATAGTTAGCTGTATTACTTTGAACCGAGTGACTCTGAGGTAATGCTCAGCAGATCAGAAAATCTCTAGAAAGAAAGTAAAAGCGATCCTGGTGTGGCATGAATCCCCCTGGTGGCAGGTCAAAGTCAATGGCAGCCTTCCAATGGTGCATTTTTAGGCTGTACCACATCAGTTCAGTGGGGGGTAGAGCAGGGGTTGCCATGGTGAAGCTGCCTATGGAGTAACATTTGTCTGCTTAACGATGTGAACAAGCATGGGAGGTGTTCTTACACAGAGGATGCAGGTCACAATAGTCCAAATACAAATAATAAAAGGAAGAACATGCATATGGAGATGACTCAACATTAAAAACTAAGCTCAGAACACCGTGTGTCTGGCTTTTATTGTGATCGTCTAAATGTTTTATAACCTTTGCTTCTGCATCATTCACCCACAGACCCCGAGTCCCAGAGGAAGCGGACCGTGCAGAATGTCCTTGACCTACGCCAGAATTTAGAAGATACAATGTCAAGTCTGCGGGGCTCCCAGATGAGCCATAGGTAAGTAAAGTATATATATACATGTATTGATAAAATTATGAGATAAATCCATTTATTAAAGTCAGTTTAAAGTGAAAAAACACACTTAGACCCTGCTGGATTGATACATAACATAATCATGTGTAAGCAGTTGTAGTGTGGCTGCTTACAGTGTTGCCACTTGGTAACAAGATAACAGAAAATTGGTTTATTGCACCAAGAAGGTAATCCTCGGTGGCATATATCTGCATGGTGTGCAGTTTTGAGGACAAAAGAAGAAGTGGCAGGCCTACAAAAACTATCTACAGCAGAGATACAAAAAAAAAACCCGAGATAAGACTTAGAGAGATTAGACTGACCTTCAGTTGATCCAGCAAGTGTTTGCTAAAGTGTTACCAAAAATCTTCTCAAGTTATTTTTCAGCAAGGGAAACAATGAGAAAGGGCTGAGGTATAACAAATTACACAAATACTAGACTGAAAATCAGTGGCAACAGGTCACATTGAGTGATGAAAACAAATGGGAGATTTTTAGTTCAAATCATTGTCAGTATGTACGGAGGAGGTCAGGGGAGAAATAAAACAGTCAGTGTCTTCAGAGAACTGTACAGATAATTGAACTTGTGTCATGGTTTAGTGCTGCATTTCACCCAAAGGTGTTGGTCTTATAGAATACCAGATTTTGATCCAGTATCATCTGGAAAGCATCTGATTAGAAATTGCTTCATTTTTCAACATGTCAGTGATCCAAAACATAAAAGCATAACTAAACAGAAAGATACAGTCATGAACTAGCCTCCCCAGAGTCCAGACCTCAGCATTATTGACTTGTACAATCTGTTTTTGCCTTATGTGCTGCATTTCCATTTATGTTTCCACATGTTTAAAAAAAAAAAAATGCTGTAGCCCTTCCATATTTTTTTACCTTCCTTCTTCTTACATAATTTTAACACTAAACCCATTGCCTCTATATTTTAAAACTCTCTTGGATAAGTAATGTTTTATGTCTTATCTATAACAAAGATGTAGTTCTAAACACCCACATGTGCATCATGGCACTGATTACAAACTATTATAAACTACCTGCAAAATAATTGACGGAGTTAGAGACTAATAGATATGGAAAAGTTTAGCACTAATGTTTTCAGTTCTATCCATCCAGAGTCTATCCCAACTATCACAGGACGATGCTATTCTGTCTTTTAGATGTTTAAAGAGGCTGTTTGGCCCATAAGCTTAATCTTGTTTAGTGATGGCTGTTATTATACCAGAAAGTTGAGAAGTGCTGCTTTAAAGCATTTAGTTTTAATGTAATTGCTCTGCTCAACCTCTTTGAAACATGTTGTTTAACAAAGAGTTGTGATTATAGTAAATACTCATTTGTGTGATTGCACGCTAAATCTTTCTTAGGCAGCTATCAAAAGGACTTCAGTTAATCAATGACTGACCCGAGACTTTGTTAATGGCTGCTTGCAGGACCGTCCTGTAATTTTCATCATCATAGTATTTTAAAGTCACTGACAAATGCAGAAATTCTCAGCCTTCAGGTTGATGAATTATCCACGAAGAATGGATAAAAATACTTGCATGGTCGTGGGCACTGCAATATTTATTTGGGTGACTCGGTTCATCTAGTTATGTAATCGACAGACACAGTAGACGCTCCTAGCCATTTGGAGGACGTTTCTGATTCTGACCCACTTACAACAGAGAAAATTTGTATTAATATTTTCTGTGTGTGGTCCTGAAAAGCAGAGTCCTTGCTAACCTGGAATACTTCCTGGTACACAAAAGCAGTATATTGAAGAAACAGAGAGAAGAGAGAGAAATGCTATATACAATGCAACACGGAGATATCAATTTATCCATCTTTTAATCTTCTCCTAAGCAGCATCTTTTCTAGTTTTACTCCCTGAACTTGATACAACACAACTGGTGTATCTAGGTCAAGAGCGACTGAATGCCACTGTTGGTTTCTTTGAAGAGAAACTCAGAAGAAAAAAGAGAGAAGTTTTCTGGGTGTGCTGTGCACATCTGGAGTCTGTCTTTTATGTTTCTTTCGGGACAAGACTGTTAACCAATTGCTTTGAACATGTTTGTAAACCACCCTGACCCTCTCCCTGTGTGTCCCTCTAGCTGTCTGGACAGCAGTAATGTGGGCTATGACAGCGATGAAACCAATGCTCGCAGCATATCCAGCCTATCCAACCGCTCATCACCTCTTTCCTGGCGCCACGGCCAGGCCAGCCCTCGTCTTCAAGCTGGCGATGCCCCATCCTCCACAGGTGGCGGATACCAGGGAAGTAAGAGTGGTTCCCAGTACACAGCCCATACAATGCCTGCTCGCTGCTCCAGTCGACTCAGCAGCACGTCTCGTATTGAGCTCATAGAAAGCCTTGATGTTGATGAACCCGATCTCAAGTCTGGTTACCTGAGTGACACTGACCTTCTAGGAAAGAGCCTGCCAGATGATGATGACGACAACCTGGCTAACGGGTAAGAGCACTTAAAAAATGAGAACATGAAGCAATAGTTTGCTGCAGATGGTGCATACTGGTTTGTCCTCCATCTTTTTGCCTTAAGAAGGTCAATGAGAAGCTCGGCTGCATTTTAATAAGTAGGCACTCTTCTTGAAATGCTGGACATTACCTCATACTATCAGTCCTCATTTGCAAATGTGTGCATATTTTGCTGGTCAAAAAAAAAAAACCTTCATGAAGGAAACTTTTCACGTCGACATCATGAATTTCTCTTTGTTGCTGGAGCCTGATGTTGCTTGGCAGGCTTATCAGAGAGCTGTCATCAGCAATCTCTATAGACGTGTTTGGTATTTTCTTGCACTTTAAGGACTTCTCAAACTGCCCGAGACATTGTCTGAGCCTGTTTTTGCTGACCGTGTGGAAAGCTTCTTTTAACTTTTTCACTGAGGAGAGAAGTTATCTGGGGCTTTCTCAGTCACACAGTAAACACTCCCTCATTTCTGTGGTGTTGGAATCTTGAAAAGACACACAGTATATACAGATGCACTAAATAGCTCCGATGACATATGTAGAAAGCTGCACCTGTGCAGTTTTTTTTTGCTCATCTTCTCACTCACTTTCCATCTTCCGTGATTCCCTCATCTCACATTCTTTATCTAATTCCCACTCACAACTTGACAGCTGACAGTGAGAGTGAGAGAGAGGGGAAGAATCCAGGACACTTCTCCAGTGTAGCAGCTTTATCACGGTTGCACATGCAGTGGGACTTAAGCTCTCTGGAGCACTCCAAAGGCCCTGCATGCCAGGTCACGTTCTTACTATGTGCACTAAGGAGACGAGAGGAAGTGAGGCACAGTTTAGATGAGTAGAAATTGGAGCATAGAAGAAGAAAATGCAAACTAGAACAGGGCTAAATTAAATGAAATTAACATGGAGAACTGGCTTCACAAGTGAAGATAGATGGTTAATTTGAAAGAGAGAGGTGAAAAAAGATCAAGCAGCAGAAGGCTGATAAGGCCAGGATTAAACGGGGATTATGTCAAATGGGTCCATTGCTCACAGTAACATCCATGCACTAAAAGTGTCCATTTAAATCTGCCCTGTATTTCTCCTTGTTTCTCGCTGCAGTAGCTCTGCTGGGGTGTTTCAAATTCATTAGAGAGGTGAGCGGAGAGCCTCACCTCTGCTTTTTGACACCGCAGGCAGCAAAGATGCTAATCATTTTATGTAACACTAGTTTCAGAATGCCTCATCGTGCTCTCGGTTTTAGGCCACCAAAGTCAGCAATCCCTAGACGTGCTTTCAAGGTGACTGGAAGAACTCTTGATGGGAAAAACGGGTCCCCATAGAGCATTTTTACCATTTATACCCAAAGCATGCTATGGATATGCCTCCTGTTATGCGTAATAACAGGTCACTCAGTCTACAAAACATACCAGGAAACAGAAATATTTTGTGCTGTTTTCTCGCTAACCTGACTAACGTTCGTGCTTATACTGTAGTTGGAAGGTTGAAATCCTGCTGGTTTGTTGGCTTGGACATGACTGCAGGAATAACAGGGGGCTAATGCTCTATATCAAGAATGAATTGTGCCGCAGAAACATACCAACACCCTTTGGTGTAGATAACAAGCTAATCCAGTTTCTGAAGCAGGCGCTGCAGCACATGCTCTAATTTATGTATTTATTAATTTTTTTTTACAGTATTCTCTGTGATGCATTTGCATTTACTCCACATCCCCTGTCACACACTTACAGTTCAGCTCATTGAGAAGCTACCAGCTCTTGAAAATAGATCAGGCTCCTCCCGCGTAACCATGGAAACCCACTGAAAATCGACTGTAAGGAGAGGTGCCATTTCTGCTCCCCTTTCAGTAAGGCCCCAGGTTTACATTTTCATAAAACGTATTGATCTGAAATGAGTACCCATATAATCAGCTGGATATGAATGACACATTGAGAATGTCAAATCACTAATGCAGTTGTAGTATGTAATACTTAGATCATGTAAAAACAACCCTGAAGGCTCAAGAGAAATGGGCTAGAAATGGAAAACTGAGTCAACTGTAAAAATTATAAAACAAAAGGCATGTTGTTAAGACTAACAAGTCTAATGGTACTGCAGCACATTGGTCAAGGCGTAATGGATATTGATTAATCCACACCAGGGAGCACTGCTTACATAAGATGTTCACAAAGACCGTTATCACTGCTACGGTGTGTCTTCATCATCAATAACCTGATACATAAGTCAGTCTCCTCATCAGCTCCAGCCTTCTTCAGACAGGAGAAGTCTGAGAGAAAGCTGCAACATGTAACCTAATCATAAGCTGGTTTGTCCTAATTTAATTACAAAGAAAGGATACATACCCTATCTAAAGACAAACAAGACGATCTGGGGATATACAGGTACAGTTCTGCTGCTTCCATTTGTCACCATTCAAATCTTAAGCCATCCAACAGTGCAGTGTACACCTACAGTTAATGAAATATTAATGACTTAACACTTCATAATCAATGTTTGTACACTGATATTGTACACTCTGTGGAACAAAGACAATCTGGCAGACTTTGCTGTGATCTAATCCATCGTTTTTGTCAAATCACTAATACAAAGGAGATGGAATGGCATTATTGAATTTCTGAGCCCTATAGGAACAATGAAGTCCAGCATCTCTAGCTCAGCAATCCAGTTTACTTCAATTTAATTCATTTAAATAACACCAAATTGCAACAACATTCACCTCAAAGTTCTTTATACTGTAACTTAAAGACCCTAAAC